GACAGTATAGCCCCTCCTCTCTGCTCCAGGCCGGTGGTGCGCTCTCTGAAGGAGACGGGGCGTGTGGAGCCGGAGCTGTTCGAGGAGGTGACGGTCTACTTCAGCGACATCGTGGGGTTCACCACGCTGTGCCAGTACAGCACCCCCATGGAGGTGGTGGACATGCTGAACGACATCTACAAGAACTTCGACCGCATCCTGGACCACCACGATGTCTACAAGGCATGACCCATCACAGAGTAGAAGTGATACACGCTAGTGGGGTACTCAGCGGCCATTGTAATTGTATTAGAATGAGGTCATTTGTCTTTCCGTTACAGTTCATCAGTGCTAGAAGAACACGTGGAGGCTGATGTATTTAAGAATCTACAAGGGACTGAAGCTCCATACAGACTGACCTGCTTTGTTTTATCCTGCTGTTTCCTCAGCCGTTTCCTTCTTTGCTTGTGCATCAGTTTACCTGTTTGCCCAGCTGGAAAGGGAGCAATGACCTGACCCCTGACCCCTGACCCCTGACCCGGTCTGTGTTCCAGGTGGAGACGATCGGTGACGCCTACATGGTGGCGTCCGGGCTGCCGCGGCGCAATGGCAACCGCCACGCTGTGGACATCTGCCGCATGGCGCTGGACATCCTGGCCTTCATGGGCACCTTCCAGCTGCGGCACCTGCCAGGACTGCCTGTGTGGATCCGGATCGGCGTGCACTCCGGTACGGCACCAGGGAATACTGGGATATCACTGTCGCGTGGACACAGGGTGACCGACACACACACACACACAGGACACTGCTGCATGGACACAGGGTGACAGGGTGACTGACTGACTGACACACACACAGGACACTGTCACATGGACACAGGGTGACTGACACACACACACACACACACACACACACACACACAGGACCCTGCTGCATGGACACAGGGTGAATGACACACACACACACACAGGACCCTGCTGCATGGACACAGGGTGAATGACACACACACACACACAGGAGACCAGAGCTTTTCAGAAGTCAGCTCTCTACGTTGAGCTAGCAGGTGCCCCCTCCTTGTTTCCGACGTGAGGACTCCCAGAACACCAAACCTCCCGGCAACAGTATCCCACGAGGCTGCTGCTGGGATAGCAGGTGACGCAAACATTATTCAGACCCCAGTGCGGTCAGACCTGCTGCACACACAGGAGAGGCTTGCAGGAACATTCACCTTCTGGATGCTGGCAGTGAACCTCAGAGGACACTTGTTGACTGAGACTGACCACCATGGACACAGGCGATAGTGTGGACATGTCACTGTTCCACAGAATACCCAGAGACTGACGCCTGAGATGTTGGTATCGTGATGCTGCAGTACCTGTGATGGAAACGGCGTAGGAATACTGCTGTTAACAGATGCTTTGTGGCCAGACAGACGACAGTACAAAGTCTGGTACTGTGGGGTGTCTGTGCGGTGTGGGGGGTGCTCTCTGAGGACACCAGGGGTCCACCCCCACAGTTAGCTGACGGCCGAAGTTGCCCTAACTCCCCTGTCTGTCTGTTTCTGCCCCTGGCACAGGGCCGTGCGCGGCTGGCGTGGTGGGGATCAAGATGCCACGGTACTGCCTGTTCGGAGACACGGTGAACACGGCGTCGCGCATGGAGTCCACAGGGCTGCGTAAGAACAGCGTGCACTGCTCACATGACACCACACGTCCCCTCCACACATACATAGCATACACACAGCACACCCACAGAGGCATATAGCACCAAGAAAGAAATTTGCCCCTTTCACTCATACTGTATATTACACACAGCACACAACATGCCCACAGACACACACACAACACGCATACAGCACATATCACACACACAGCACCCGCACATCACGAACACGCACTCGGCACGCTTACAGCACGCACACAACATACTGAGCACATGGGAGCAGCAGGGAGAGTGTCTGGTAACGGGCCATTAGTGGAAGACACTCAGCCCTGCTTGCCCTCTAGCTCCAGGTGACAGCCCTCCAACAGCCCCACCCCGCCCTTAAACTGACCTTCCTACCCCCCCCACCCCCACCCCCGTTACAACTCCCCTCTCTCTCCCGCTCCTCCTCCAGCGCTGCGCATCCACGTCAGCCAGCCCACCGTCAGCATCCTGCAGAGGACCGACTGCAAGTTCGAGTTCGAGAGGCGGGGGGAGACCTACCTCAAGGTAACCCGTTTCGCCCCGCAGTGCCGGAACCGAGGCCGGGCTGCACAGTCTGCATCAGCGCGAGCATCACTCGCACAGTGCGGGGAAGAGGCCCGTTCAGGAATTGCAAAAAACTGATAGCGGGAAATTTCGGTTGGCAGTTTTTGTGCAGAGTAAATGAGCATAGTAAAGTATCGTGTGCGTTGTTTTGCAGTTCCGTCGTACAGCTTAGTTTTGGAAATGCGTTGATGTTGGCTAAGGGGTGCGCAGAACTGCCTGGGACACGACAGTCTAACATCAAACTCTAAAACTGTACCAGCTTGTACAAGAGTCACTTTCGACTTGCACACATTTTGGTGTAAATAAGGGCTGTCAGATCTGATCCCATCCTCAAGTTGGAGCTATCTGTGCCTCACAACTGACCCCACAGTGCCATGTGTCCGTACAGAGTCTTGCGGCTCTATCTGCATCATGACTGAGCACCTAGTGCCGCGTATCGTTCCAGGGCCGAGGCACAGAGGTCACATACTGGCTGACTGGAGTAAAGGGACAGGCCTACAACCTCCCCACTGCGCCCACTGCGTGAGTATGAGCACACCCCACTGAGCAAGAGGCTCTCCTGCACTCCCACTTAGCAACAGGTTCTCCTGCACTCCCACTGAGCAACACTCCCCATCTCTCTCGGCAGTGAGAATTTCCAGCGCCTGCAGGCAGAATTCGCGGAGATGATCGTGTCCTGTCTGGAGCGGCGCTCCCCGGGGGGGACAGAGAAGAGGAAGACGTTGTCCACCCGGCTGAGGAAGAAGGAGAGCAGCGCCGGGGAGCTCCCGCTTGAGTACCTGCACCTGGTCGTCACAGACAAGTTCAGCACCTACCTGTAGAGCTGCTGGGCTCTCCTGCAGTCCTGCTGAGCAACTTGCTCTCCTGCTCTCCTGCTGAGCAACACTCTCTTCTGCACTCTGAGCAAAAGGTTCTCCTGAACTCCCACTGAGACAGGACCAGCAATGGACTCTCCTGCACTCCCACTGAGCAACACTCTCCTGCACTCCCGCTGAGACAGGACCAGCAACGGACTCTCCTGCACTCCCACTGAGCAACACT